GCAGGCTGGTCTTGAACCCCTGGGCTCAGGCAATCCTCTAGCCTTGGCCTCCCAAAGTGCTGGGATTACAGGCTTGAGCCACCGTGCTCGGCCTATTATTTTATTTTTGAGTTGGGGTCTCACTGTCATCCAAGCTGGAGTGTAGTGGCACGATCACAGCTCACCACAGTCTCAAACTCCTGAGCTTAGGTGATCCTGCCTCAGCCTTCCAAGTAGCTGGAACTACAGGTGTGAGCCACCATGCCCAGATAATTTTTTGATTGTGTGTGTGTGTGTGTGTGTGTGTGTGTAGAAGAGGTCTTGCTATATTGCCCAGGCTGATCTTGAACTCCTGGGCTTAAGCAATCCTCCCACTTCCACCTCCCAAAGGAGGCTTACACTTACAGGAATAAGCCACTGCACCTGACACTTTTTATTTTATTTTATTTTATTTTATTTTATTATTTTATTTTATTTTGTTGAAGTCTTACTCTGTCGCCCAGGCTGGAGTGCAGTGGCATGCTCCCGGCCACCACAGCCTTGACCTGCTGTACTCAGGCTATCCTTTCAATCAGCCTTTCAAGAAACTGGAACTACAGGAACACACCACTATGCCCGGGTAATTTTTTGTTGTAGAGAAGAAGTCTTGCCAAGTAACCTGGGCTGGTCTCACAACCGTGGGCTCAGGCAATCCTTTCACCTCAGCCTCCCAAAGTGCTGGGATTATAAGCATGAGCCGCCGAGCCTGGCCCATTTTTTATTTTTAAGGAAGATATCACTAGGGTTTGGACACTGTCCTTATCTTGTCTGGGTCTCCCCATCCCTATAGAATCACTAATGAAATCATTCTTGCCCATTATCACCTGCCTATCTCCCTCTGCACCCTAGAAAAGTCTTGCAAGTTTAACAAGACAACCAAGGAGGAAGGCGACTCATGATGTGCTTGGAGCTGCCAGGCCACATTCTTCTCTCCAGAAGTGTTATGAGGTGGTGGGCGTTCCCTAGGGCACACTGGGGGGTCTTTCATCTTTGCCTCTTTGCAGCCCCCACAGGGAGGTAGTGTACATGATGGATCTCCCTAAATGATTTCACAGCTGAATTTTGATCTGATGCACCATGGCTCTTCTGTAGAGACAAAAAGGCTTCAGGGTGGAGGCATCGGGTGTGTAATCCCCATAGAGACAGAGGAAGGGAGCGTGAGGCCACACAGTCTCACCCGTTACTTGGATCACCGATTGCCCCTTCACCTTCCAGACACTGGGGGAACCTTGGCATCTCTATTTCTTCCACTCCCTCCTTCCACTCCATGGGAAAGCCCCACCGACTTGCCTCCAAACTCCAGCTGACTTCACCCTTTTCCATGGCACCCAGCAGTTCCCCTTCCCCAGGATACCTGTGATGTGGCCTCCTATGGCCTCTCTACCCACATCCGGTCAGCCAGAGTGTCTCACTGGACGCATAAGTGGCATCGCTGTCCTCTCCTACCCTTGACAGCTGGTGCCTTCCCATCAGCTGCACAAGAAAGTGTGAAGTACTGGTTATGGTCCACATCCTCCTGCTATGGTCCTCCACCCACATTGACCCCCAACACTCCCCCCACATACCCCTGCCCGAGAGCCTTTGCATCTGCTGTTCTCCCTGCAGCCCAGAATGTGCTTCCCCTAAATGTTCATCCCTCCAGTCTGCATTTTTGTCTTCTTTCTAGATCACTCCACCCTAAGCCCTCACCACTCACCACTTTTCTCTGTTGTTCTTTATTTTCTTCACCTGAAATTGTATAAAGTTGTATATTTTCTTTCTTCTTTTTCTGGATTCTTTTTTCTTTTTTAGAGACAGACTCTTGCTCTCTCACCCAGGCTGGAGTGGTATGATCATAGCTCACTGCAGCCTCGAATTCCTAGCCTCAAGAAATTCTGCTTCAACCTCCTGAGTAGCTGGAGTGCGATGGCACGATCAAGGTGAATGCAGTCTTGACCTGCTGGCTCAGGCAATCCTTCCGCCTCAGCCTTCTAAGTAGCTGGAACTGCAGGCATTCACGCCCAGCTAATTTTTTAATTTATTGTAGAGATGAGGTTTTGTCAAGTTGCCCGGGCAGGTCTTGAAACCCTGGGCTCAGACAATCCTCTTGCTTCCAACTTCCAAAGTGCTGGGATTACAGGCGTGAGCCACGACAGCTGGCCTGTGTATTTTCTTATATGCACTGTCCATATTCTCCCATGAGAATAACCTCTCCATGGGGGCAGGGATGTGTCTGTGCCCACCATGGTATTGACTGAGTTGTGCATGCATGAACGCAAGCACGCGGGCATGAAGGGGAGATGGCAGGGGGAGTGTCTTGTTGCTCTTGCCTCTCCATTCCAGGCAGGACATAAACCTGGGGCCAGCGAGGACAGGACCAGGCTAGTGGAGTATCTCCTACCGCATGGCTGCCAGGTCCAGGGGCCCACCTGTCTAGTCAGAGCATCAGGGGACAAGTGACGGTGTCAGGAAGGGGGCAGGAAAGCAGAGGCCACTTTCCTCCCTGCTTCACTGCCAGTCCCACCTTGGTTCATCTTGAGGGCTCCTCCCTGTACCCAGCAGGGGCAGAGGAAAGTGGCCAAGAAAAATTCCCTGCAGGCCACTGACGACAGTGTGGTTGGTTGTAGTTACAATGTCAAACTATGTAAATAAAGAATAATTTCACAGAAGATTTTGTGTCCAATTTCACAGAAAGAATAGTGTATTGGGAACATGAGTACTACCGTCTGGCTCTCCTCCACTGCCACCACTTGCTCCACCACTCGCTCCACCACCTACCCCTCCAACTACTGGTCCCTGGGCTCCATCCCACCACCCAGCCTGCGGCCCACCAGCAGCGCGGCCAGCGTCTATGCAGGCGCCAGCGGCTCGGGCTCCCAGATCTCTGTGTCCTGCTCCACCAGTTTTCAGGGCGGCTGGGGGTCCGGGGGCCTGGCTACAGGGATGGCCGGGAGTCTGGGGGGCATCCAGAGCGAGAAGGAGACCATGCAAGAGCTGAACGACCGCCTGGCCTCCTCCCTGGAGAGGGTGAGGAGCCTGGAGACCGAGAACTGGAGGCTGGAGAGCAAACTCCGGGAACACCTGGAGAAGAAGGGACCCCAGGTCAGAGACTAGGGACCTTACTTCAAGACCATCGAGGACCTGAAGGCTCAGATCTTTGCAACTTCTGTGGACAATGCCCGCATCGTTCTGCAGACAGACAACGCCTGTCTTGCTGATGATGACTTTAGAGTCAAGTATGAGACAGAGCTGGCCATGCGCCAGTCCGTGGAGAGTGACATCCAGGAGCTCCGCAAGGTCATCGATGACACCAATGTCACCCGGCTGCAGCTGGAGACAGAGATCGAGGCCCTCAAGGAAGAGCTGCTCTTCATGAAGAAGAACCATGAGGAGGAAGTAAAAGGCCTACAAGCCCAGATTGCCAGCTCTGGGTTGACCGTGGAGGTAGATGCCCCCAAATCTCAGA